TATAATATAGAAGTGAAAAATATTTCTTCTATTACATTTTAAAAATGTTTAGAAAATTCTTTTCTTTTAATGAAATAGTCAGTGTTATGTATCTTAAAGCCTTTAAGTGTATTCAAATAATCTCCAGAAAGTGATGTCTGGTAAATACTGCATTGCTCTCATCTCAGTTTTCCCATTACCTGGTCTTTTTTAGGTTTTATTTCATAAATTAAAATTCCTTTTTACTAGCCTGAAATCCACACTAGGATTATAATTTTATCATAGACTGTTTCCATCTGATGGGTCAGAGGTTTACAGATGACTAAGGAATACAAGAAAAATTTCATATATTGTATAAGATGAGCCAAGACAACACCCAGTAGCAGATAAGTGGTTTCAAACCTACTTTCTTATCTCAATGCCTTGTACATAGTTGTTGTTGTTAGGTGTGTTGAGTTGGTTCCAACTCATAGTGACGCCATGTACAACAGAATGAAACACTGCCTGGTTGCGTGCCATCCTCACAGTCATTGCTATGCTTGAGCCCATTGTTGCAGCCACTGTGTCAATCCATCTTGTTGAGAGTCTTCCTCTTTTTTTTTGACCTCTGCTTTACCAAGCATGACGTCCTCCAGGGACTGGTCCCACCTGATAACACGTCCAAAGTATGTGAGACGAAGTCTTACCATCCTCGCTTCTAAGGACAGATTTGTTCGTTCTTCTGGTAGTCTATGGTATACTTGATATTCTTTGCTGGCACCATAATTCAAATGCATCAGTTCTTCCTTTTTATTCATTGTCCAGCTTTTGCATGCATATGAAACGATTGAAAATACCATGGCTTGGGTCAGGCGAACCTTAGTCCTCAAAGTCACATCTTTGCTTTTTAACACTTTAAAGAGGTCTTTTGCAGCAGATTTGCCCAATGCAATATACATTGTTTGATTTTTTTTTTTTTTAATTGTACTTTAGATGAAGGTTTAGAGAGCAAACTAGTTTCTCATTAAACAATATACATACTGTTTTGTGACATGGTTGCCAGCCCCACGACATGTCAACACTCTCACTTCTCGACCTTGGGTTCTCTATTACCAGCTTTCTGTCCCCTCCTGCCTTTTTGTCCTTGCTCCTGTACTGGTGTGCCCATTCCTGCCTTCTCGTCCTTGTCCCTGTGCTGGTATGCCCATTTGGTCTTGTTTTGTTTTATGAGCCTGTCTAATCTTTGGCTGAAGGGCGAACCTTGGGAGTGACTTTATTACTGAGCTATAAGGGTGTCCAGTGGCCATAATCTCGGGGTTTCTCCAATGTCAGACCAGTAAGTTTGGTCTTTTTTTTTTTTGTGAGTTAGAATTTTGTTCTACAGTTTTCTCCATCTCTGTCTAGGACCCTCTATTGTGATCCCTGTCAGAGCAGTTGGTGGTTGTAGCCATGGTTTGATTTCTTGACTGTTGCTTCCACAGGCATTGATTGTGGATCCAAGTAAAGTGAAATACTTGACAGCTTCAGTCTTTTTTCCATTTATCATGATGTTGCTTGTTGGTTCAGTTGTGAGGATTTTTGGTTTATGTTGAGGTGTAATCAGTACTGAAAGTCTGTTGCCTTTGATCTTCATCAGTAAGTGCTTGAAGTCCTCTTCGCTTTCAGCAAGCAAAGTTGTGTCATCTGCATATCTCAGGTTTTTCATGATTCTTCCTCCAGTCCCAGTGCTGTGTTCTTCATATAGTCTGGCTTCTCAGATTGTATGCTTGTATGCTCAGTGTACAGATTGAATTAAGTATGGTGAAAGGATACAGCCCTGACTCACACCTTTCCTGACTTTAAACCATGCAGTATCTCCTTGTTCTGTTTGAATGACTGCCTCTTGATTTATGTACAGTTTCCTTATGCGTACAATTAAGTATTCTGGAATTCCATTTCTTCGCAGTGTTATCCATAATCTGTTATGATCCACACAGTCAAATGCTTTGTACATAGTAGACACACTAAATGTTTGCTAACTGAACTTAAAATATTAGATTAAGCTGACACAGTGACTGGGTGGTTTTGCCATTTGGGCAAGATGGCTTTTCCTATTTTGAAAAAGGGAGAAAACAACTTTGTATAGAATACATTCTGAGAAAGCTATGTTTAATGACAGTTATTTTGCAAATTGTTGAGTGCTTACCATAATGTCTGGCACTATATAACTGGTACTCAAGGGATGAATGGATGAAAAAGTGGAAGGACAAAGAAATAGAAGAAAAGATGGTTTACCATTCTAGATAATTTTTAAAAAAATATTTATCTCATAAAGAAATCTTGTTTTCTGGGAACTTTTAAATATAGATGACTGTTTTTTTATAGGATGTTTTCATATGGCTGGAGATCATAAATCCCAATTAGAGAAACTGTAGCATCTAAAAAATAGGGAAAAATTATCTTAGAACTGTGTAATTGAGTAAAATTATTTGAAATATGTGCTTACCATTCTGAAGCTATATTGTGAGCAACAATAATTAATTTCCATTTATTATTTCTCTGATAACTTAATTCAGAAGTGAGAGTTATAAAATAGAAGTTTATAGGTCTTCCTCAAAGCTCTATACCCCAGAATTATTTTTGTAGAAGTTTTACTTTGAAATGCTAATCAGCAATGTAGTCTTCTATAGTAAATGGTATTTGTTAGAGATACAACTAAGATAACTTCCCAGAGTAGGAGATCTACAAAGAAAATTTATTCTGGGAGCCAGTATCATATTGTCTCAGGTTTTAGAAACACCTTAGTAAGCAAACATTTAAGATATACATGCCTCTTATCTTGTATATAAAAGACATCGCTACCGGTACTGTCAACATCAGGACTTTCAATTCTAGAATAATGGATTAATAACAATAATAGTTTCATATGGTCCAGTTATTGTGTTTGTGTTGTATAATTTAGATGTGATATTGAATTCTGAATTTTTTTTCCTTGAAATGTTTGTTCCTTATTTTTAAAGCACCCTATTTTAATATTTTGTTCTGCAACTGATAATATATCCTTAAGTGTTTGATAATTAGTTTCTGATTTTTTTTTTCTTTTGTGGTACTTGATACAAGCACTCTTATGTAGAAAATATTAGTACACAAAATAACTTTAGAAAATTGCTTGAAAAAGGAGGTTACACTAGAATCCAGTCTTCAATGGATTATTTAATTTCTAAGATTCCTTTACAATAGCTAAAGAGGAGCTGCATACATTACAAATGTGGGCATAAAGACTGTAGTTAATGTAAGAGGATTAGAAGATGTAAGAATATAGCAAGCATAGTAGGTAAATACTATGAAATTCAGGAATCACTTGAATTGCTCTTTTGTGAAGTCTAGTGACCAGGAAGTTTTGTTTGTGCTGTTTAGGTACTGGCTCTCTACGAGTTGTTATTCTGCATTACCACATTGATTCATTTAGTCAGGTGAAACTCAGCATGGTCAGAAAGTTTATCTCCCTCAGAAATTGTTCCTTCCCTTTTCTTTTTCTCTTAATGGCTCCATCATTCTCTCATTCAAACAAAATGAGGAGTTCTGCATGACACCCTCTTCTGTCCTTAGTCACATGTAGTCATTTGCCTGCAAATGCCCTTACTGCTTCTCTTTCCTCTCTAACCCATTCACCTCCTTTTCACACTTCCGTTCTTTTTGGTCAGTACCATTCCACTTGCTTCCACCCTCTAAGGTTTTTCTTAATATTGTCCACTGTAACTTCTTTCTCTGATTGAATAGCTTCATGGTACTGATTATACCTCTTTATGGCTTGATTCCACCACATGGGTGTCAGTTTGTTGTTCAGATACAACACTGGAAGCGCTCACTTGTCTATGCCAAGAAATTTGGAAGACAGTTACATGGCCAGCTGACTGGAAGAGATCCATATTTGTGCCCATTCCAAAGAAAGATAATCCAATGGAATGTGGAAATTATTGAACAATATCATTAGTATCTCATGCAAGCAAAATTTTGCTGAAGATCATTCAAAAATGGCTGCAGCCCTCCATTGACAGGGAACAGGGCTAGAAATTCAAGCCGGATTCAGAAGAGGATGTGGAACGAGGGATATTGCTGGTGTCAGATGCATATTGGCTGAAACTAGAGAATACCAGAAAGATGTTTACCTTTGTTTCATTGACGACACAAAGACATTTGACTGTGTGGATCATAACAAATTATGTATAACATTGCAAAGAACGGGAATTCCAGAACACTTAACTGTGCTCATGTGAAACCTGTACATAGATCAAGAAAGAGGCAGTCAACAATTTCCAAGGCCAACTCTTCAGACAAAGATTGGACTGGACTGTGGGACATAAAATGATACTCGTAAAGAGTGTGCGTCTTAGCTCAAGTAGGTACATGAGACTAAATGGGCAGCTTCTGTCTGGAGGTGAGATGAGAAGGCAGAGAAGGTTAGGAGCTGGTTGAATGGATGTGGGAAATCGGGTGGAAAGGAGGAGTGTGCTGTCACAGTATAGGGAGAGCAATTAGGGTCACATAACAATGTATATATGAATTTTTGTATGAGAGACTAACTTGAAATGTAAACTTCCGCATAAACTACAACAATAAAAAAAAAAAAGAGGCAGTAGTTCGTACAGAACAAGGGGATTCTGCGTGGTTTAAAATCAGGAAAAGTGCGCATCAGGGTTGTATCCTTTCACCATACTTAACTCTATGCTGAGCAAATAATCTGAGAAGGTGGCCTTTATTAAGAATGGAGCATCAGGGTTGAAGGAAGACTCATTTAAGAACTTGAAATATGCAGATGACACAACCTTGCTTGTCGAAAATGAAGACAACATGAAGCACTTAGTGATGATCAAAGACTGCTGCCTTCAGTATGGATTATACCTTAACATAAAGAAAACAGAAATCCTCACAAGTGGACCAATAAGCAACATCATGATAAACGGAGAAAAGATTGAAGTTTTCAAAGGTTTCATTTTACTTGGATCCACAAGCAACGCCCATGAAAACAGCAGTGAATAAATCAGATGACTTATTGCATTGGGCAAATCTGTTGCAAAAGACCTCTTTAAACTGTTAAAAAGCAAAGATGTCACTTTGAGGACTAAGGTGCGCCTGACCCAAGCCATAGTCTTTTCAGTAGCCTCATATGCATGCAAAAGCTGGCCAGTGAATAAGAAATACAGAAGAAGAATTAATGCATTTCAATTGTGGTGTTGGCAAAGGATTTTGAATATACCGTGAATTGCCAGAAGAACAACCAAATCATTATTGAAGGAAGTACAGCCAGAATGCTCCTTAGAAGCAAGGATGGTGAGACTTCATCTTACTTAGTTTGGACACATCATCAGGAAAGATCAATCGCTAGAAAAGGACATCATATTTGGTAAAGGGAAGGGTTGGTGAAAATAAGGGGAAACCCTCCCCTAGATAGATTGACACAATGGCTGCAAAGTGGCCTCAAATATAGCAACAGTTGTGAAGATGGCACAGGACCAGCAATGTTTTATTTGTTATACATAAGGTCACCATGAGTTGAAGCCAACTCAATGATAATTAACAAGAAGAACATGGCTTGATTCTTATACTTTTTTATGTTTGGCTCTATTACTAGAATATATACTTCTTGAAGTTAAGTACCATGTCCTTTACAGTTGTTTATCCTCTCCTGTGCTCACTTAGTCTACTGCATTTCACATAAAGGTCTACAATGCCTTATCAACAATTCTGAAATCTAAAACACTCTGAAAACCTAAGGTTATTTTTTATGTGTTTGGCACTATACTCATTCGGCAGGAAAACCTGTCTTGACATGACATGAGGCTATTTTATTTTGTTCTATTAAAAAACTGCTGCTTTTTGTAGATGATAAACAGTTGAATAGAAACAGTTTCATATCGTTCACCCTTAATTTTATTTAACCTACTTAATGACAATATGTATAGATTTTGGTATAAAAGTACTAATGAATGTTTTTATGGAAGCGTAATGTGTAATTAATGAAAATAACTAGTACATGAACCATTAGTATGTCAGAGGTACCTATATGGTGCAGAGTGTCTAAATTCTGGTGGTCTCTGAGGATCTTAAACTAAGGTTACCAAAAGTCCTGATTTGCCTGGGGCAGCACTAGTTTATATTTGCTGTCTAGTTTTAATAATAATGCACCCTAACACCCCCTCCCCTTTTCTCAAAAGAGTCCTGATTTGGACAATAAATTATATGGTCATCTTACCTATAGCAGATACCCCTGCAATAGATACTTCCATTATGGTGGGTGACTTTAATTAAGAATTATAGCTTCCAGTCTCGTGATGTAGCTCCTATAGTTCTTACAGTTGTGTGCTGTTGAGTCGATTCTGATTCATAGGGACCCTATAGGACACAGTAGAATTGCCCCATAGGGTTTCCTAGGCGGTAGTTGTTACCGGAGCAGATTGCCTGGCTTTTTCTTCTTGGGGCTGCTGGGTGGGTTCAAATTGCCAACCTTTTGGTTAGCAGCAAAACGCTTAACCATTGTGCCACCAGGGATTCTTGTTCTTCTTCTAGTCACGTACAACTTTTCTACTTGATCAGATTATTTATCAGGAGACAAGGCTCACTGAAAATTGCTGAGAAGCTGATATCTTTATTTTCTTTAGTTGGAGGTGGTTGTTGTTGTTGTTAGGTGCCGTCGAGTCAGTTCCAGCTCATAGCAACCCTATGTCCAACAGAACGAAACACCGCTGAGTCCTGCACCATTCTCACAATTGAGTTGGAGGTACTTAGAGTAAAAAAGGACATGGCAAGTAACAGTTACTAAGACAAAAAAGCTGTTACCATGGGTTTGGTAGCAAGTGCCTGTTGATTAAAAAGGCAATTACAGTTTGTGGAGTTCTTGAATTGATCATAGTATATGCAGAAATGGCTTTTTTCTAAAGTTATTTGAGATGTTGGCAATGGTGAAAATTATTTCTGTCCTCTGGCCCAGAATTTACATACCCTTGCTGTATAAAAAAAATGAGGCATTTCCAGAGACTAAAGTTAGTTCAAGACAATATTTTACATAATAATTTTGTAGCTCCCCTCTTACAATCTTAAACACAATCTAAGATTCTTTTTAGCTGTGTTGACTCCCGAGCATCAATGTCAGTGATTTCACTGGTCTTTGTGACCAGTGAGAATCAAGAACAGTCCTGGATGGGATCTCTCTACCTTTTTTTGAGTCCATTTGGTTAGTCATATAGGGATACAGCGGCTGTCCTCCCTAATGGAGTAGGGCAGTTGACATGGTGCCATAGGGAGGGTAGGACAAAGAATGATAAAAATGAGTCCTGGGGCCTGTTTAGAATTACTGGGTAGCAATTGGGAGTCACATTAAGGTAGTCCAAAAGAGGTTGGGAAAGGTGAAGGATATAAGCCTTATTTTGTTGGCTTTTCCTCTCTTGGCACACATTAGGGTAAAAAAATAACTCTCTTGATCTTTATTTTCTTGGGAAATCTGCTTCTTTACAGTAGTATTTGAAATGTGTTGAAATGTTACTATACATAGTTGTTTCTCAGTAGCTATATTTATTTATTTAAATCCCTCTTGTTAGAGTTTTGTCGTTCAGGTTGAAATATAAAGCCACAGTTTAAGACTCCTTTTGTTTCTTGGCAAAATTGGCAATTGTTTTAAAAATTCAAAAGTCTGGAAACAATTTGTTTAGAACATGAAAAAGGAAAATTATTGTTCTCCTAACTTTAATGAAACATTTTTTTTTCCTTTGCAGAATGAAATTAACATTGAAAATATGGTTAGTTCCATAGATCCTGAAAAACAAGATTCTCCTCCTCCAAAACCACCAAGGACCCGCAGGTATTGTATGTCATATTTTTTTTTGAAAGGATACTTTTATTTTATTCAGTGTTATTAAAGTGACAAATTTTGAATGTTTCTAAGTTATTTTCATAACTTTTATTACCATTCTTTTGTTTAGGACTCTACCTACTTTTAATATAATAGACTTAGCTATAATAGCTGTCATTTATCAACTTATTTAAAAAAAGATGAACATTCTTACAATATCCTTTGCAGTTGCCTTGTTGAAGGGGATGCTAAGGAAGAAATACTGCAGCCGCCAGAACCTCACCCAGTGCCACCCATCTTGACACCTTCTCCCCCTTCAGCTTTTCCGACAGTCACTACAGTGTGGCAGGACAATGACAGATATCATCCAAAACCAGTGTTGCACATGGTTTCATCGGAACAACATTCAACAGATCTTAACAGAAACTATAATAAATCACCAGAACTTCCAGGGAAAAATGAGTCAACTATTGAACAGACAGAGAGAAAATTGGAGCGAAATTTAAGCTTTGAAATTAAGAAGGTGCCTCTCCAAGAGGGACCAAAAAGCTTTGATGGGAACACACTCTTGAATAGGGGACATGCAATTAAAATTAAATCTGCTTCACCTTGTATAATTGATAAGATCTCTAAGCCACAAGAACTGAGTGCAGGGGATTTAAAAGTTGATGATATTTCTCAGAATTCTTGTGTGGACTGCAGTATAACACAGTCAGATAAAGGCCCAGCTACTCCATCAGAAGAAACACAGAAGAATTCAGGCACACCCCCAAGGCCAGACTGTTTGCCTCTTGATGAGAAAGGACATGCAATGTGGTCATTTCATGGACCTGAAAATGCCCTACTCATGCCTGATTCCTCTGAAGACAAATCCTCTGATATCCATTGTCAAACTGTTAAAACTCTGAGTTTAACACCAAGCCCTACAACACAAGTTGAACCCCATGATCTTGTAGATCATCACAACAGTTCACCTCTATTCAGAACACCCCTCAGTTTTACTAATCCTCTTCACTCGGATGACTCAGACTCGGATGAAGGGAACTCTGATGGTGCTGTTACCAAGAATAAAACTAATATTTCTATAGCAAGTGCCACAGTTTCTGCTGCCACTGGTGCTGAAAGCATTTCTACTAGAAAAGTATTGCCGATGTCCATTGCTAGACATGATATAGCAGGAACCATACATTCAGGTGCTGAAAAAGGTAATAATAATATCTAATGCTTAAATATCTTTACTATGTGCCAGTCGCTTTCCTAAGCACTTTACCTGTATTAATTTATTTTTTATTCCACACTACCCTAGAACCTACAGCAAAGTTTAGTTTTTTTAGATATTTTTAATAAGTTTTTTTTGTTGTTACCTTAATTTGATCACATTGTGTTACTGATTTTGTTTCTGAAATTGTTGTAACTGAGAAATTTCTTTCCTTTTTCTTCCATGTTATAGCTTTTAGTATTTTACATGGATCAAAAATTTATCTAATTGAATAGTTAGAAATAATTTACGAAAGGTAGAGTCACTTTGAAGTAATGGTGACACAAATACTGTAGAATGGTTTGGTTGGCCATTTAATTTCATCCCTATTTCTCACAAATTCCTCGTTAGTCATCTTGTTTTGCTACCTTTAATTACAAAATACCTTTGTTTAACTCTCCTCACAAATGCTTCCAATAAGGCTGCTTTCAGTCTTGAATTTAAACAAGGAGCACTATTGTAGCTACTTAACAGAATATGGAAAGTTTAATTCATTCAGTGGTGAATGGCATATATACATACATAGTCACCAAGCTATTATTTAATTAATGACTATCTTCTTTAAGCAGCTTTAGTATTTGAAGATAATGTGTGAGCTCAGTGTGGTTATCAGTGGTCACTTACCTGTCAGTGAACTTTGACAGTGACACAGAGTGGCATTTATTTACAAGATACAGGCAAAATAAATACTGTGACCTTGAAAAATGTCTTTCAATTTCTATCTCTGGTTCAATTGAATACCACCCATACTGTAGTGTCTTGATTTTGTCCAACTCACAATACTGCATGTTTTGTCTTAAAAATGTATCTGATAGAATAGATAGAGTATAAGCTAGTATCTTAAATTTATAAAATTCTGTGTTTTATTTAAAGGATCTTCAGAATGGAATAGTTACCACAGGAAATATTGCTTTATTAGTTTAACATAATTTTAAATTGTTAGTATGTTTTTCTGCCTCAACTTTAAAGTTTAAAAAATACTGCCAGCTGTAAGTACACAAGAAAATGTGTAGACAAGAAATTTTCATTTTGGGCTTTTTTAGTTATATCAGTCATATGTCTTATACCTAGGAAATTTTTTTTTAACCATTACTAGAAATAGAATTTGGTGAGGGCAGGAAAGATGCATGATATGGTATGCTTATTAAAAGTTATTGTCACAAGACCAGTCTTTTGGTGATTCCAGAAAGTCCCTTTAAAATAAAACATACTATACAGTAATCAGCTCACTTCTGTTCTCTTATTTTATTTGTATTTCAAAGCAAAGATAGTTGTTAATGTGATTTCTGGTTTCTTTACAGTCTTCCTTAACTATGCTAAATGAATTTGGTATTAGCTGAAGATTTTTCTCTATATATGTTCTTTTCTGCATTATAACTACAAGCAGTCCTATTTTTAATGTGTCAATAATTATTTACCATGTGAATAAACATGAGCACAAGAATTACAGGTTTGTTCTTTTTTTTTTTAAAGAACTTGGTAGTGAGTTAACTGAGTAATTTTCTATTGATAATCTGAAACAACCTTTGCATAAGGTACTCATTACCATTGAGTCGATTCCAACCCATAGCTACCCTATAGGACAGAGCAGAACTGCCCTATAGGGTTTCTAGGAAACCCTGGTGGGGTAGTGCTTAAGAGCTATGGCTGCTAACCAAAAGGTCGGTAGTTCAAATCCACCAGGTGCTGCTTGGAAGCCCTATGGGGCAGTTCTTCTCTGTCCTATAGGGTTGCTATGAGTTGGAATCGACTCAATGGCAACAGGTTTGGTTTTCTATAGGGTTTCTAAGGTTATAATCTTTACAGAAGCAGACTGCCACATCTTTATCCCGAAGAGTGGCTGGTGGGTATAAATAGCTAACCTTTCAGTTAGCAGCCGAGCACTTTAACCACTGTGCCACCAGGGCTCCTTTGCGTAGTATCACCTGACAGATATTCCTGGTTGCGAATTCAGATTTTGATCTTTATTTAGGTCTCCTGAAAGATTCCCCAAATTTGGCTACATAGGCCCCTACTCAGTGTATGATATATAAAAGCCTATGTAAAATGTGCCGTCTCTGATAGGATAACTTCTAAAACAGAAGTCTACAACGTAGTTAAGGCCATCTAGAGATTCAAGGAGAAACAATCAGTTAAGAAGCAAGGGCCATAGTTAGAAAATGTCGATGAGAAGAAAGGTACAGAGTTTCCAAAATGAATACTTAATGTAAATGAGCAAGACTGCCCTTGCTGATTTGTTCACTCAATTAAGAAATGGTATCACAAGGCCAAGATTATGGGCCCCTTGTTTCCAGTAACCATCTTTTCACTATGAGGTGTTAAAAACGAGAGAGCAAGAAGTATGCTAATGGATCAGACTGCCACTGCTCTTGGAAAAGGTAGATAGTTCTTTGATGGCTTAATTTTTTTATACGCAAGAGAGAGTTACTCTTGGTAGGTATAAAAAGTATAGGACTAGAACTCTTGTCTCAGTAGGACCCAGAGGCTGCATTTTCTTGTGTCTCTGGTTCAATAAATGTAGGAGGGGAAGAGCAATCATACCTGGTTCATGCTTGTTGAAAACTGAAAAGGCTTTACTTGATTTTCAGTCTCTTTTTGGTGAAATAGCAGGGCATTATGGCAAGATTGTTCAGTTTTATATGTTTGTTCATGTTTTAGAGAGAGCAGTTGGCAAGGTCCTGACAAAATAATCTAGGACCCACACCTTCCCTAATGTTTAAGAGTCCACACACAGAATTGTATCCTTATGTCGTCTTTTATCCCAGTGGAAAACGCTAGTGAAAAGATCTGATAAACTCATTCACCTTAAACCATAATAAGGCTAACTGATGAGGCTTACTTAATGTGTTTTCTTTTCTAAGAGCTAATTTTGTTTTTACTAATTAAAGGCTTTTATATGACTTGAGTTAGTATTATCAAAGTATGCTAATGTTCACAAGATTTTAGGCAATAAACAAAAGAACGTTAAAATTTTTTAAATAATTTTACGTGTTTTAGAAAGATAGCTAGCACTTCAAATCTTATTTCACAGTTATACTGTTTAAAACTTGACTGAAGTACATAGTTACTTTAAATTCCATTCATTTTTAATTTATCAGGTAAATAGGAAATATGGTATATACTATGGCAAAGATCATGAAGGAGTTAAGCAGTTAAATCCATTTTGGCAGATACTGGCTTAAGTCAAATGACCAAAGCTTTCATTTATGGATTCAAAGCATCATCAGCAAGCATAGTCAGTCACTTGGCCTGCTGCCTTCTCTACTGAAGACTGTCCTAAGGACAGTCTGGTTAATGACTGGAGGCTATCACAGGAGAGTCCTTTTCACTATGCAGTAGTAATGAAGTTCATTCTTCTCTGCTCAAAAAGCTGTATAATATTTCTTGAAAACAAGGGTTTCTTGGTTTTTCTTACATTTTTAAAACTGATTTTCTTAGATACTTGTCACAAGGATTTTTAGAATGTCAGTAAAGCTCATTTTTAATAATTTGTCTAAATTTTATGTATTTATTTAGATGTTGATGTTAGTGAAGATTCTCCCCCTCCCCTACCTGAAAGAACTCCTGAATCTTTTGTGTTAGCAAGTGAACACAGTGAGTATCTCATCTGCTTTCACATTTACTTCCTACTCTAATAATAAACTCTGAAAAACGTGGCTGATTTTAATCTAGTAGCTATTGAGCTACATAATTAAATTCAAAAGCAGGTCTGAATTGGTATTGACAAACATTTTTAATGCCTTGTACAAAAAATACTTTAAAATGGTATTTTTTATTTGATAAGATTGCTAAAATGGCTACTACATTTATGTTAGGTACTAGAATCCAGTTCAGTGCCATTATAAATGTATTTGCAGTTTGGTGTCTTTCAAGTTATTAAAAGTAGCACATATTTATGGAAAGATAATAATTCCTTTACTTGGTGCCAGTTTAGGTAAGTAAAAATTTTAGTTGGGTTGTGGGTGATGTATCACTTGATTGGTGTTAAATGGCCACTAAAGTATCAGTGAGAACTGGGAGAAAGTGATCATAATTCAAAGCACTGATAATATAATTCTCCCCACCCCACCCTCCAAAAGGAGTACAGAAACAGCTTTAATGCATTTGCAGTGTCTCTTGCTCAGTGTGGGTGCTCACTGAGTCCCTGTCCAGGATGAGGACTTTGTATATGTGTGTTTAGCTAGTATTATTACTACAGTTTATTTTTAAGCTTCTTCAAAAAGACTTACTTTTCTAATCTTAGTTACATTTCACCAATAGTTTATTAATTTTAATTGATTTTAAGAATGTTTAAAACTGAAGCATTATACATCTATAGATGATGTCACATCTGTAGATTACAACGAGCAAATAAAAGCCCTGATGACTGAATTAATTTCGTTAAAATTTTAAGAAAGGAGATTTAAAACAATTTTCTTGAAACAATAAAAACTAGAAAATTTTTTAATGGAAGTGCTAGTTTCTAGAAAGCTGTGGGGTCAGTTTTTGTATATTACTTTAATGCAAAGAAATTTCAAGAATTAAAGATGTTAATTGTAATTATAAAATTTCCTTTTTCTCAGATACATCTGTAAGAGCTGAATGGAGTGAACTTCAAAGTCAGAAACAGTCTGAACAAAAAAAATCTGAAGTGAGTCCTTTTGGGATTGGAACAGCAATAATTTAATATTTTTGCTCTTTTGTTATCTTACAGTTATTACAATAACTATTACTTTAAGACCATTACATATAGTTTATAATTTTTTTTCCATTTTTTTAAATTGTACTTTAGGTAAAGGTTTACAGAGCAAATTAGTTTCTCATTAACAATTAATATACATACTGTTGTGTGACACTGGTTGCCAACCCCACGACATGTTAACACTCTCTCCTTCTCAACCTTGGGTTCCCTGTTACCAGCTTTCCTGTACCCTCCTGCCGCCTTGTCCTTGCCCCTGAGCTGGTGTGCCCATTTTGTTTTATAGGCCTGTCTAATTTTTGGCTGAAGGGTAAACCTTCAGTGACTTCGGTACTGGGTTAACAGGGTGTACGAGGGCCATACTCTCGGGGTTTCTCCAGTCTGTCAGGCCAGTAAGTCTGGTCTTTTTTTGTGAGTTCGAATTTTGTTCTACATTTTTCTCCAGCTCTGTCTGGGGCCCTCTACTGTGATCCCTGTCAGAGCAGTCGGTAATGGTAGCCAGGCACCATCTAGTTGTGTTGGACTCAGTTTGGTGAACGCTGTGGTAGCTGTGGTCCGTTAGTCCTTTGGACTAATCTTTCCCTTGGTCTTTGGTTTTCTTCATGTATAGTTTATAATTTTTGATCAGTGTTTCTGGTACTAATGTTTGAGATGGAAAGCCTATATAAAATGTAGGATCTGAAATTTTTAATAAGGGTAACATGAAAAGCTGCTTTTGAAATTTGTAAATTATGCCATGTTCCAAATCATTTCAGAGATATGAATGGAACAGGAGTTACTGTTTTCAAGGTTATAGTACTTTCCTAGGTTTTGTTCCACTCATTATAATACTAGGCACAAAGTTCCTCCTTTTGGTTATTCTGGCTATCTGAGGTTTTTGTCCCTAGTCAGGAAAAGTTTTGGTAGCTAAATATTTGGCCATGGGAAATACCATTTTTCCTCAGCATTAACATTTTTCATACTTTTCCCCACATTTTAATATCTCTAAAATTGGGATACATCTTATAGTTGATAAAAACATTGTGATATAGTTTAATTGATGTATAAAATAGTGGTAACTTATAATAATGATATATCTTATCATCTATGGTATCATAATTTGATGAGATATGGTAGATGGCTGGCAAAATGTTACTGTGTGTATGTTCTTTGGTACAGTAGTTCCTGCTTTTTCGGTTTCTATCTAGAAGGGAAAAGGAACTCTCCTGTTCCTTTCTCAGTATAAATCAGCATAACATTTAAAAATTTTAAGCCTGATTGAAAACATCATTGTTTTCTTTCCCTCTTACACTGAGAATCTTGATACACCTGCCTTGATTTCTTGGGATATATATCCACAACCCAGTATGGGTAGATATCCAAACTTAGTTTTCTATTATTTGTACATAAAAGGAGGAGTGTATTGTAATAGCTATTAAATGTCTTCCTTATAGGGCTTGATAACCTCTGGAAATGAAAAATGTGGTAAGTGATTAAAGATTTTCTTTTTCCTATAGAATATAGATTAATTTCCATAAAATTGTATATCTCATAGTACACACTATCTGGTTATCTCTGTATGTGAAATATGTAGGACAACTCTTCTGAAAGGTGAAGTATGTGTACTGTGTTGTTGTTATTGTTGTTAGGTGTCATTGAGTTGGTTCCGACTCATAGCGACCCTATGTACAACAGAATGAAACACTGCCCGGTCCCACACCATCAAAGTATGTAGTATAATTCCTCCAAATTAATTAGTACTACCAGGTATTATTATTGATCTGGAAAATAATGGGAGCATTTATTTATCCAGCTAATGGGAAAGTAGTTACTTTTTAAATATTTTAAAATATTTTCTTGCATTTTATTGTCTGTTGTTATAAAAACACTTAGGAGCTAGATCCTGACAGTGGGTAGCTATTTGAATAAATGCCCCGTATTAACCTAGATGATTGAATTGGGTTCATAATAATCAATTGTTTTGGAAATCAAAGTCCTTTTTAGGACTTTTACATTTATTTCTGAAGACTAATAAGATTATGTAGTTCTAATTAGTGTTACAATGCCAAGTTAGAAATTTTTCTGCCACATTACTATTACTATCATAGTAAAATAGGTCGTTATTATTTTTATAAATCAGTGGCCATGTAAGTAGCTCATCAAACAGCCTATACAGTTCCTTCAATTCATCTTTTGTCTCTGCCCTCATCCTCCATTTTGGATCTATTCCATGATCACACCCTGGATCTACCATACCATTTTATTTTATTCTTTGGGATTGCTGGGTGCTGCTGGGGAACATCACTCAGTTTTACAGATTGAACCTACAATTCTAGGTCTTTATCCAAAGTGAAGTCCTACACATTGCTGGTAATCTTATATGTTCTAGTTGGTAACATTTCTGTCTCCCCTGAGTTTTCCAAACCTTAATTTTCTTCTAAAATCATCAGCCCCACTAACTCTTGGTCAGAGATAACCTGTATTTCACTGAGAGAATTGAGGCCTTTAGACCAGATCTTCGTTACTTCGTAGAAGCTGGCCCTGAATACCTCAGACAACCTCTAGTTTAATCTTGATGCCCTTCCTCTGGCTCCCCGTTGTATGCTGCGTGTAATTTAATTATAAAACTTAATCACACTACTGTATTAATTTATGTAGTTGGCAAACTGCAGCCCACTGGCCAGATCTTGCCCTTGGCTTGTTGTTGTTTGGCCCTTGAGCTGAGAATGTTTTTTTACATTTTTAAAGAGTTGTTGGAAACAAAAACAAACAAAAATCAAAGATAATGTGACAGAGCCGATATGTGGACTGCAAAGCCTAAAATATTTACTCTTTAGTCCTTTATAGCTGCTGGAGCCCTGGTAGCACAGTAGTTAAGCACTCATCTGGTAACTGAAAGGTCAGTGGTTCAAACCCATCAGCCACTCTGCGAGAGAAAGATGTGGCGGTTTGCTCTTGTAGAGATTACGGCCTTAGAAACCCTATGAGAACAGTTCTGCTCTGTCCTCTGGGGTCACTATGAGTCGGACGCAACTCGATGGGAATGGTTTTTGTTTGTTTTAGCCCTTTACAGAAAAAGGTTGCTGATCCCTGACTATACTACAAGCACCTGGAGGACAAGGACCATGTTTTATTTGACTTGTATTCCAAGTGTCCAGAAAGTTTCCATACAGCGGTGTAGGGGACTTGATAAAGGTTGTGAAAAATGCAAGATCATAGTAGTTAACTTCTTAGAATTATTCCATACAAAATGTATCATTTTAACTTTAAATTTAGTGACCAATAATTATTTGATTCCATTTTCAAATATAAAAAGTTATCAATAAAAATAAAACAAACAAAAAAAACCTCCATTGCTGTTGAGTTGATTCTGACTATAGCGACCCTATAGGATAGAGTAGAACTGCCCCATAGGGTTCCAAGGAGTGACCAGTGGATTCAAACTGTCGACCTTTTTGGTTAGCAGCCAAGCTCTTAACCATGTGCCACCAGGGCTCCATCAGTAGTGCTAGGAGTGGATAAAAACCAAACCAAATCCGCCGCCCTTGAGTTAATTCCGACTCATAACGACCCTGTAGGATAGAGAAGAACTGCCCCATAGAGTTTCTAAGGCTGTAATCTTTATGGGATCAGACTGCTACATCTTTTCTCTTGTAGAGTGGATGGTGGGTTTGAACCACTGACCTTTTGGTTAGCAACCAGGCTCTTAACCACTGCTCCACCAGAGCTCCTTAGCAATGGATATAAACTCTTAAAATAATTACTACATGTAGGGGCCAATAAGTACTTAACTATGAACTTGTTTGTCATTGATTTCCATATAAAGACATTTCAGTTGCAGTTATTACCTTAGAACACATGTATATAGTATAACTATTTCAAGAAAACATAATATGCCGAGACCCAGGTTTATTATATAAAGGTAACGGCATAATGAGATTCTTCACATTGCTGAAGTACTCACTGCAGATTTCTAGGTGCCCTCAAGAGCACCTAACACGATTCCTGGGCCTCTAGAATTGATACCCAAGAGAGAAAACTTGCTCTTTAACTCATTGCCAACATTAAAACAATTAGTTTGTTCTGTGTATGGTGCTGGGAAACATTATATTCTGCAAATGATAATGATTAACAAGGGCTTTGTTGTACAATTTAGATCATCCAGCAGGAGGCGTTCACACGGTGACTTATATAGACTGCCCACCTACTTTCAGTGACAAGAAAGAGCAAATATCATTAAGTCTGACAGAAGCCACAGATATTGGTAATATTTTTAATACATAATTTTAAAACTTCAAGTAGTTAATGCTGACAAGAATGAGAAAAGGCCATTCTTTGTGATTGTTCCAGGATTTCCTTAGAGCAAAGTTATCAGATTTTGTTCTATGATTTATTCAGGTTCTGAAATGACACTTGCCAAGAATAAAACATCTATGACCAAAGTTGATTAAAATTAATCGTGAAATAATTTATTCTGTTCTACACTGAGATTAAAAACTCACTGTTGTTAATTGCTGTTGAAAACTAAAATCTAAAAAAACTGCAATACATAAGCAAATATTTTGTGTTGGACAGTAAAATATCTTAAATGTTTTTCGTACATTGTGATAGAATTAGCATATTACTTTTAAAGAAACTATTATTTTCAATTCCCCCAAACAAATTTACATTGGCCCTTTAGCTAAAAATGATTTCAGTTTTGTTTGGTTTAAATCCTAAATTCCTATGTGGAAATTTATTTGTTCCAGAAAATGAAGATGTTTGGATATGAGTTTGGTAGCTTAAAAATATGCTGAACGCTGACCAATTATTCTGGTGTTTTGACTATAGGTTTTGGTAATCGCTGTGGAAAACCCAAAGGACCAAGAGATCCACCTTCAGAATGGACATGATTCAGGGAGTTAAAAGACACTTTAAATTATACTGGAAAATTTAAGTGCCACTGAAATCCAGATTAGTATTCCATCTTAAAAATGTGGGACTAACAGCAGTGTAGATTGTTACCTTAAGATTTTTTTGCTGGGATGGTCTACCTGCCTATACTACACTTAGGAAAAAGTATTACATATGGTTTATTTTGTAACTTCAAGTATTACTGCCTTAATGTCTCTTAACCCTGTTACACGCTGCTTGTAGACATGTTAATATAGTAATACTTTTATGATAAACTGAGTTTAAGGACTACTCTTTTGCTAATGTTTTATCATGTATGCATTATTTTGTATTTGTACAGGGCAAGTAGGTATATAATTTGATAAAGTTGCAGTCATAAAATATTATTAACAGAAGATGTAAGAAATTTCTGCATGGTCTAAATTTTTGTGTACCTTATTTGTAAATTATTTGCCCTGAAGTTTTAGAAAATAGTTTCTGAATTTAAAAATAGCTGGATTCATGCAGCCAGCATTGTAGGTTATCAGAAATCAAAGATTGTAATAATAATACATTTTGTAAATTGTAAGCAAAAGGTTATTTTTATATTATATACTGTCTAATTGTCCATCCTAATTGTCTTTGTTTTCATCTAGTCATGGAGATTCAGTAAGTGCCTTGGAACAATATTGAATTCTCTTAGCTTGTGTGTGTTACTTTAATATTTGAAGTCAACTGGGGTTAGAAGACTATTAAAATATATGTATGTTTCAGGTTATTTGACCTGCCATTAAAAAAAACAGAAACAATTTTATAGTGCCTACCTGTTGTCTTGGGTTTTCATTCTTCATTTTTAGGATATTAGACTTAATGTCAGTCTTCCTGCTGGCTTAGTCTTATTTTTAAGCTACTGACATGAGTGGGACTTAATCTCTTAATTAAGGAATAGGGAGCACCTTCTTCCTTATGGCTCTGCAATTCTAAATACTTTATCGTTGAGTCAGCCTTAGGTATTCTTATCATTATTAGTGTACCAAGATCCTAGTGGAACACCAGGCAGAGGTGAGGTTGGGAAAGAGGGACAGGTTTCTTCCCATCCCACATCTGGAACATAGGTCTTATAAATACCAAGTATGAATTTTGACACCACTGATTGATGTTAATGGAATTTTACTCTATCAATATTTTCCTTCTTTATACAAACAGTGAAAAAATTAGTTAGGATACTAAAGTGAGTAGAAAGGGGATGGTTGTGAAGGAGAAAACCATACTAGAATTTTGTATTAATTTTTTAAGCTAAATAGTCTTCATGTTGATACCTTAGAATTTCAAAGTTTTCTCATATATTTTGATCTTGATAAGGAAATGAGAATACGGTGGACCCTTGACATTCAAAAGACACACCCTAATAGCATATCATTTTCCTAATAAAATTTAAACTTAAATAAAAATCTAGTCCTTTCACAAATTTGATGATTTGTATAATATGGCACTGAAATCATCTTTATAAAGATTTTTTGGTTGGGAATTTGTTGCTTGAAACACCTTCACTGAAGTATAACATGTATTCAGAAGGGTGAAAACTAATATTAATCATCACAAAGTATACATATCATGTGGATATAACCACTGCCTAGATCAAAGCAATAAACGTTATCAGCTCCTGAGAAACTTCCCCCTCGTGCTTCTGGGACTCCTTTGTTATTATATGTGTAGTAATCATTTGTTCATTTTTCATTGCTCTAAAGTTTTGCATTGTGTGAATATACCATAATTTGCCTGTTCTGTTATTAATATATATTTGGTTGTTTTGGTTTTCGAAATTACAAAGTATGCTGTAGTGAATATTTCTGAATGTGTCTTGGTGTACATATGTATATTTTCCGTTGGGTATATATCAAGGCTTAGGACTTTAGTTTATTGGGTATGTGCATATATTCAGCTTTAGTAGACACTGCCAAACCTTTTTCCAAAGTTGCAGTTCTAATTGTTCCGTATCCTTGTCAACCCTTGCTATTAATAGTAGTTCTCATTTTAGCTATTTTATATCACAGTTGTATTGCATTGTGATTTGAATATATATTTTTACCTAATGATTATAGTTGAACACCTTTTCATGTGTTTCTGGACATGTGGAGATCCTGTTTTGTGAACTGCCTGTTCAAGTCTCAAGCAGATATTGTTTGGCTTATCTGCTAAAACTGAATGTATACATACCCTATAGTCTGGCAATTCTGTACCTGTTTTTTTATGGGTTATCTGACCTTTTCTTATTGATTTATTGGAATTATTAATATATTCTGCATTTTGACCCTTGTGGGTTTGCCTATGGTTTGCCTTTTCACTCTATTAATGGTGTCTTTTGATAAATAGGAGTTTCTAGATTTAATTTAGTCCCAAGTTATCAACCACCATTTATTGAGAAAGCTGTCCTTTCTCCACTGTTCTATCAGATATCCATTTATATGTGGGTCAGTTTCTGGATTTTTCTCTATTCAATTACCTAGCCTTATGATGATATTTTAAATTCTGCCTTTTTACAGCTTTTGCTTTCTCCCACTGATTAATTTTTATACTGCCTGGAACACTTGATGAAACAGTTATTCACTTTTATTTTTCTATATAAAGCGTGTAATAAACTCAGTTGTATCTGAATAAGTCACTGCCAAATTCATCCTGCCTCTTTATCCACAACTACTCCTTGTAGCTAAGGCTACAAAGACCCTTAGATTGCCCCTTTTCCATCACAACCACTATTAGTTGGCTTCTTTTGGGAAGCCATTTTTCATAAATAGTATTTTTCAGTTTTTGGAAATTTTCTCCATATATTGATAACAGAGAGCAATAAAGCTAGAGTTATATGTCAGTGCTGAACTAGGCTAAGTGACTTCCTCACATATAAAATAGCCTCATAGGTCATATGGTTAAGAGTTTAGCCTGAGCAAAATTACATAACTATATGTTCTAAACTCCTGGGGTCACTTAAAAAGAGTTGAAACTGTGAATGTTAAATTATCGAATGTGAAGGGTTTAGTGCATATGTTTGTCTTTTTATCTTCTGAGATTAAATTTATCATACGAGAATTCCTGCTGTTGTTTAGATGACTGAGTGAAAAGGGGAAGGTCTCTTAGTTCCCAGGATTCTGTCTTGGAAAGGAAAAAATCAGTTTTGAATTATGCTGTGTTTCAGATAACTAGTGTATCCAGCATCCAGAAGGTGATGTCCTATCCACAGGTGTAAATACGGTAGCCACCCCACCCCAAACCCCAACCCCATCTGCAGTTTCGCTTTCCATGGTTTCAGTTATCCGCGGTCCAAAAATGTTAAATGAGTAGCTTGATGAAATCTCGTGCCATCCTGCCCAGGGACCACATTCACATAAGTTATTACAGTATATTGTTATGTTTGTTCTGTTTTGTTATTACTAGTTATTGTTGTTAATCTCTTACTGTACCTAATTTATAAATTAAACTATCATAGGTATGTATATATAGGACAAAACATAGTATATATAGGGTTTGGTACTATCCGTGGTTTCAGCCATCCACGGGGGGGTGGGGTTTGGAACGTAACCCCTGCGGATCAGGGGAGACTACTGTACATATATGTAGCTAAAAGGAGTGTCTGGGCTGGAGATCAAGATTAGGGCATGTTGAAACTGAGTTTACACAAAAACTCCAGGGAGAATAAATAATTTGATATTTAAGTGAATTTTCACATTTATATAATAAATCTTTACATTTGTTTTTAAAACATGATATAGGTTATACACGGACACTGTATCCCCTATCTCCCTGGCCAGACATCTGATTCATCCTGTGCTTCAGGTTCAGGTCCCTTCAATCCACCCTCTGCATTACCACTGGACAGATCTTCTAAAATACTAGTCTGATCTACCCTTGCCTTTTTTCTAATGACTTCCCACTAAAAATCTTTAACGGTTCTTCATTGCTATGGTAGTGTTTCTTAAAAATGTATGCTACCTTAAAATTTGAGTTTCAGGGCCCTAGTCTGGACCTGAATTAAAATGGGGCTAGGGAATTTGTGTTTTAGACTAGCATCATAGAAGATTCTGGTACATAATGAAGTTAGAGAACCAGGCCTAGAAGATCAAGTCCAAACTCCTTAGAGCATGTTAGACTCCATACACTATCCCCAAGATCTGTCTACTGGGGATAGACAGATCCAGCCATGATAACTAATTACAGTTTTTCTGAACTATGCCTTAGTCAAACTGTACCCTCAGTCATGAGTGCCTTTTCTTGTCCTTGTTCTTTTGAGCTCTACTCATCTGTCAAGACTTGGTTCAAGTGTTATTTCCTCTGTTAAACCCCTCATTTTGTCCTGCCTCCCACCAAGTCAGTCAAATGTTTCCTCTTTGTGCCTATGCTATACATTATTCATTTATACTTGTACTTATTTTCTTCTTAGACTTTGAGAGAAATGATCATGAAATTTAGTGAAAATGTTGGCATATATATGTACTTAACAAGCAGCTAAATGTGTGAAGTTGAATATATAATTTTTGTAAATACTGTCCTGACAGAGTAGAAAATAAAAGTCTTGAATAAATGAATCCAAGACCGTAGCCTATGTTAAGGTAGCTATAACATAAACTAGTTTTGACTTACATTCCCCTTCAATTAAGCCTTTGTAGTTTTCATTTAATACCTCTTGCTATATGGTTTAAAGTGCCAACATACACTCATGGAATGAAACTTAACATAGGTTGTTTATATACTTGTAGCTGCTCCTGGAGTTGGCTCATAAGCACAGAGTGGTCAGATACATCATCCACTATGAGTACTTCGCCAGGAATATATCCACTGTTTCCAAACTGTGTATATATGACTCTGTTCTAAAGACATCCATGTATATATATTAACCATTTCATATTATAAACTAAAAGGAGACAATTTCTTAACGTGAAGAGGGGGCAATAAAAGGAACTCTAATGCATTTTGCAGTCTGAAGCTTTTGAGAGAAATTCAAGTGAAGAATAAAATCTTAATTATATTTAGACTTAAAATGTGTTCTGATTTAAATATTTTTATTGAAATTCATCAAAATGAAATAATTTGATACTCCTGATTGCAATCGACGAGATCATTCTAGCTTAATCCTAAATACAGGATTAGATTAAATAATTCTGCTAGATTTGGGAAACTTCTTGTTGCTTTTGTTTTTTACTGATGTCTCCTAATTGGCTGCTTTTGGTGATGTTCTTTTAGATATCAAAAATTCAGATTCTATTATTAGCTTTCTAAATACTGAGATGTGAATTAGTTTCAATTTTTTAATACTGTGTTCTCTAATTTTGGATCTTTGGTACACAGCTCTTAAAGGCCAGAAGCTCATGTTTTCATTCTGCCAGATGGAGAATTGCAAAGGCTTTAATGAAGATTTTGGCACATATCCAGTCAATAAGCAGCCCTTGCGTATTCTGCTAAATGTGCAAATTAGATCTGGTTTTGCATATAAACTATTTTCTTTGCTGCAACCTGTTTCCTGTGCTATTTGTCCTCAAAGTGCACAAATCCTGCAAAATATGAAAATGCTCGATGTTTAGTTTGTAAGAAATTTAACCAGTGAAAAGCAGTTAACGCTTGGGTATCTCAGCGAAGTGGGATTCGAGGATGCGTTCTAAGCTACAACAAATCTGGGCTTTGTTGAATTAGTGGGGGAAGGGAATTCCAAAGATTCCAGCCATTTTTTAGAGATAACATGGCATATGTACTGTTAATGATGATTTAATGTAATAGCATTTGTGACTTGAGAATTCTTGCCAATATTTCAGAAAGAATATATTCTTTAGCTGCTACAGATGTATACTCAAATAACTAAGCATTAAAGAAAGAGAAAAATAGTTCTAAATTTCTCCTTCAGACATTGTTTTCCTGATTGAAAAATTCTTCAGTAGGATTAACAGTTTAACAGATACACAAATGTTCAGATTATCTGCGTATATATAATATTTTAAAGTACTGTGCCTTCTAAATTTTGCTTCTATATACATATAATCTTTTAGAATACTTCTAACACTTTCTAAAACTAAAATGTAAAAAAGCATTTAAATAATTTTCTGTATTAAATACAAAACCTAAGTACTTGGCATTTCTCATTGTATTTGAAGTCAGCACACAAAAATAACATTTTGTATGCACCTTCTATGCAAAATTTTAAAATACCAACCTAGGAATATTATATATGTCTTATAATTTGAAAGGTGTAGAGATTAGCTGAGATTAACATTAGGAAATTTTTGTAAGAATGAAAATTCTATATATACATGTTTCAATTACACATTTCATTGTTTCATAAAAGTGAAAAACAGATTATAGGGAATTTTCTATTGCCATTCAGAATAACAAATTATCCTTAGGATTTCCTCAAGCTCAAGTGTCTACTTAATTATTCCATGTAATAGAAATGTGAAGCTTCAATTCATATGTAAAAGTTTTAGATTTTCATTTGAATTCGCTTGCACTTAGGACCAAAAAGTTTTGAGTCTTTGACTAAGGATTTAAAGCATTGATAGTAGCAGTTCGAGTAGCTGTAAGGGTTGGAAAAAGCCCTGATGGCGCAGTGGTTAAGAGCTACGGCTGCTAACCAAAAGGTTGGCAGTTCGAATCCACCAGCTGTTCCTTGGAAATCTTACGAGACAGTGCTGCTCTGTCCTATAGGGTCACTGTGAGTCAGAATCGACCTACAGCAACAGGTTTTTAAGGGTTGGAACATCAACTAATTTTTCCCCATTCCACCAGAAGGGGGCAGCACACAAACCAAGAGGAAAATTTATAGGTCAAGAAAACCAGGACAGGCACTCAAGAAAATAAATAGCCGGAACGCATTTTTAGGCAGTTTCACTGTTTGGAAGCATTTATGAAGTCCCTAATGCCAAGGTAATCTGCCCCCATACACCACTTTACAAGATTCGTGAGCAAAACTTAAAGGTTATCATGTGCCCTCATGCAGACTTCAGGCCTATCTAATAAAAATTACTAACTAACCTTGCTGAATGCTTACTATGTGTCAGGCACTCTATTAATCTGTATACATATTATCTTACTTACTCCTCACAAAAGAAAAAAAAAATAGTGAGGTAGATAATATTCCTGTTGGTGACCTGAGAAATAGAAACTTTAGATAATTTTCCTTAAGTCACACAAAGCAAGTGGCAAAGCCAGAATTTAAACCTTGTTCTTACTTCAAAACCTTTTCTCTTAACCACTGACCCTACTACATGCCTCTAGATTTCAGAGGATCTAAGAGTGTAGGCTTTATAGAGGAAAAAACCTGTGTGCGCTAGTTAACTGACTAGGAAAGGGACTGGTTACTTAAGTCAAATGGCACTCCTAGGCATTAAAATATACAGCTTAAAAACGGATGAAGGCTATCTGCATGCTTTTCCTCACTGTCAACTTCTATCCTGCAGTAGGGTAATTCATAGGGTAAAATGTGATACCCCATTATGTGGAGGCAGAAGTGAGAACCTGAGATTTTTACCAGTTTGGTCAACCTTAATTTTACAGTCAACTTGATCAACAATTGTG